AAATAATTTTATTATTCTTGTAGTTCTGCTCTATGGACTCAATGGGCCGCTGTTGGTCAACGTGTTGCAATCCTGTAGACAGGATTTGAAGCAGATCCTCCCATTTCATGTCCGTATTTTAGAGAAAGGAAGGGAGACAAAGCACTGTTCACTGACCGGGGATCTTTTAGATGGATACAGTGATCTGATGGACTATTATTTCACTGTTTGGGAGTAATATATGTTCCTTTATCTATATTTTTTCGTGTGGAAACGTTATTTTTTGTCGTGATTCCCTTTGCAAAAGATGTTCTGTGGTGCAGCGTATATTTTGAACAGAACAATGAGACGGCAAGTACTGTTTTTTATCTCGATCTTCTATATAGGTTATGTTGTCGGTCAAGTGAGCTTCTCTATTCCGGAGGAAATGCCAAAGGGGTCTGTTGTCGGAAATATAGCTCGAGATTTGGGCATAGATGTGAGGAGACTAAAGTCAGGTAAATCTCGTATATTTACGAGCGACAGCGCAGAATACATCGAGCTGAGTAGGGAGAGAGGTGTCCTCCTCGTCAAAGAGAGAATCGACAGAGAGTCACTCTGCAGACAGACGACGCCTTGTGCTTTGCATTTGCAGATTATTCTAGAAAACCCAATGGAGCTTTTTCGAATAACGGTCGAAATCACTGATATAAACGATAACAGTCCAAGTTTTAAAAACGATGAGAAACGTTTTGAAATAAGCGAATCCGCAGTTATAGGATCGAAATTCGTGTTAGAAAGAGCGGTCGATGCAGATATTGGAATAAATGGCCTGAAAAATTATAGCCTTAGACCTACAGATAACTTTGTTCTGAAAATTGAAAATCAGGCTGATGGACAGAAAAAGGTTGAAATGGTTTTACAAAAGCCGCTAGATCGAGAAAAGGAGGAACAAATATCATTGTTGTTAAACGCCGTAGACGGAGGGGATCCTCAAATGTCGGGTACCGTGAAGATTTATGTGACCGTACTCGATGTGAATGACAACGCTCCGGTTTTCACGAAGTCGGTTTACAAGGCGGCTATAGCCGAAAACTCTCAGAAAGGAACAACAGTGACAACAGTGAGCGCTTCTGATGCAGATAAAGGGACAAATGGGGATGTTTCTTATTTAGTATCAGCTACAATGGATAGTGTATCTGACATATTTACAGTAAATCAAAATGGTGAAGTAATATTAGTTGGTGAAGTTGACTTTGAAAAAGCCAAATATTACCAAATTTATATTGAGGCCAAAGACAGTGGTGGTCTTTCTGATTCCAGTAAGGTTATAGTTGATGTTATTGACATTAATGATAATGAGCCTGTAATCAGTATACTTTCGAAATCAGATTCTATTCCTGAAAACTCTCCACATAATACAGTTATAGTTATGTTCAGTGTCTATGACCCAGATTCAAGTAATAATGGTCAGGTAAACTGCAGATTAAATAGTAACATACCATTTACTATTACAGCTGCCTCAAATGATTTCTACAGCTTAGTAACAGACAGTGATTTAGACAGAGAGAGAGCCTCTGAGTACAAGATCACTTTGACCTGCTCTGATGAGGGAGTGCCCTCCCTCTCCAGCAGCGT